TGCTTTGGGCTTCTCTTGAGGCGCGCGCCTCACTACACTCGTCTCGCCTTTTCAAGGCAAGGCGCATCTATTGCGCCCAGTGCTTGGACGCGCCTAAGCACGCTTTTTTAATCACTGCTCGGTAGTATCTCAATCATAGATATATCTTTTGTAATTTTAGCTTCTCCACATTTGTGAACAATTAGGAAGCTGGGTTGAGATTTCCTCTACCCAACCCTTGGGCTGTTTTTTTTTGATAAGAAACTAGACTTTCATTATCAAAGAGGAAGTACAAAAAGAAAAGTACAAAAGAAAAGGGGAGATGAGATATCCCCACAACCAAGGAATTACAAAAAAGCTTCCCAATTGGAAAATATTTGAGAAATACTATTAATTACAAAAAGCTTTGTTAGTAGAAGCCCCAGAAGAAACAAAAATTCTAACATTCTCCCAAGAGACTCTTCTATCTTACTCTTGGTCCAAAAAACACCTCTTATTGCATTCAGACCACAATTTCCAAACCAAAACGGCTATTCCAATGAACCAAAGGATATTTGCTTGTCCTCTAAAATTAGGTCCTTGGAAAAGCTGCAGAAGGGCGTTAGAGGCAGTATTTGGAAAGCACCAGCTTATGTTGAAGATTTTAAGGGCTGTTTCGGCTCTTTTGTTTATAATACATATCTCTACTTGGCAATAGTGGTTCACCTTGAGAGTTGTAGTTCCACCCCCCGCCCTCCCCGCAAGCAACGACCAACAATATTTCTTCAAGGAGATTACTAATAATTGACTAAGAAGCACAGATATGGATACGACACAACACGGTGTCGATGACACATTTTCTAAACATCTAGGACACAGACACGACAATGACACGATTGTTAAAATATTACCACTTTTTTAAGTACATATCATTTTATGCCAGAATGGAAGGAAACTCAAAGTCAATAAGCTGACACATTTTTATGCTTAAAAAATGAGTTTGATTTGTTTACTCTTAAAATTTATTATTTCGTACTATATTACTATTTTTGTCTATTTTTTATACTTAACAAGTGCATCAAAATAATTTTCCACATCCGAATGGCAAAGACTATCACTTGAACTGATAAGGATCTGTCGTTCTAGCTATAGTCAATTAGCAAGCGAGTAGGGGAACCGTTCCTTCCGTTCAGTAAGGGAATACAAGAATTGGGTCGATCTTCTTTCTCTTGGAAGTTTAACAGCTCGATATCGAATCAAAGTAGATTTGTGTGTAACCAACTCCAGCTTCGTCCCGCTTGGTGGACGAAATCTTCTCTCCTTTCTAAATTCTATCAACAGGCGCCTAACAACTGTTGAATCCATATTCACTTTGTATAGCTAGTGTGTGACATACATCTATTGAGCTAACGAGTATCCGATATGTGTTTTATGTGTCAAACTGTCCAACACGGATACATTATCCAAACTGAAGTGTTTGTGCCTCTTAGATTATTGACGGCCTCTGTGCCAGTTCTGTAGCAAAGCTTAAGACAATGACAAGTACAAGTAAACTGGAGCTACTGACAAGAAACTTGGGCACCTTTTAACAGGTAACTACATCATAGCCTGCTGATTCACCCACTCACTAGATACTAAGCAAACAACAGAAAATTACTAAGTCTATTTCTCATTATGAACAATGCTACATGGGACTGTTCTGGTGTTTTTTTACTCAGTTTTTTTTTTTTTTTTTTGAACAAGAAACACTTTTCATTGATATAGTGAAAAGCTACGAGAAATCCAATCACATAAATCCTACTAAAGCCCAAACCTTAAAATATAAACAGACCCAACACCTGTAGAGATAACAATTACAACAATGTTCATTGCAGGACTGGATTTTTAAAATAAGTTTTACTGAAAAAGAAAAGTAGCTAAAGAGGTGGAGAGGACTAGAATCCCACGCTAAACCAAAGTTATGGAACACATAGAAAAGCACTCTGATCTCAAAATTAGGAGGTTAGAAATAATGAGAAGTTACATAAAAATCCACAAGTAGGAGTTTCAAACAGAAACCTCAGAAGATGTGATTCAATACTTTCTTAACTCCCCTGTCCCTATCCTTAAAAATCATTGTGGTTTTCTCTTTCCAACTTCCAAGTTCCCAAAACCAAAAGGATGCACAAAACAAAACAAGGCCACAAAAATTCTCTGTCATGAGATTTGGGGACCCAAACCACCTAATGCAAGGGAGGGGAACCATACCATAGGAAACTCCAACCTTCAAAATAAAGAACCCCATAAACTTTAAGGAGCAGTGAACAAACGAATGATCTAGATCTTCCTCGGCACTTCCACCCATCACACGCCCCTGTAAGTAGAGAACCATGGAAGGGATCCTCCTCCCATTGACATTGATCTTCCAAGTAGTAATGGGCAGAGCAAATAATGGATTTCATTAGGTATATTTATTTCCAGACAAACTTCAGTGTATTGGTCGGCAGCGCACTTTCTTCCACTAGCAAGAAATTGAGGAAAGATTTGCAAGGGCATATGCTGATACTGTCTGAATTCCCGCTTTGGGAATCTGCAAATGGGAAGTTTAAAGATAATCCTTCAAGGGGCGTTGATTCTCTCCTCTACTTCTGTCTCGTTGAAGTTCTTCCTAAAATCATCTACAACATTTTAACTTGAAACAGATGATAAAGAATAGAGGAATGAAAAGACTCATCAGGAATCTACCCCTTACCATAAAACTGAGTCTCTCCCCATTTCCAACCTTCAAGGTCATGTTGGATCAAAGAAAAATCTCCAGTTGTTTAGAGATGACAGTCCAGTCCACGGACTTCCAATTCATCCTCTGAAGACCAGAGACGGAAAACAACCATTGCCTCCAGAACTGTCCTTTCTAGTGATGAAGGAATACCAGATTGCCGACCTTTCTTGGGAATTCTCCATAGACACATTTGAATCAAAGTAAAATTCTTTTTCCTTGCTAATCTCCATGCACAGTAAAGAAATAGAATCCTCTTGCAAAAATAGTTAATAATTGGAATTGTACTAAGAGCGCCATACTTTTAACATGCAAGCAGAATAGCCATAACTAAAACTAGTTCTATATCAGATGTACAACGGGAGAAGACACTAATACCAAATAATAACCCATTATAAATCCGAGTAACAACCCAAGACATTATGAATATCCTTAAGTACAATGGCAGCTCGTGAAGACAACCTTGATATTAACATTTCATTAATATTAAATGATATAAATAGCTCACCATTGCCATTGGCTTCCAAAATTCGAAGCTTCAGAACTTGGGAAAGCCTCGAGACGTCAAGACGACAATCCAAGTCGATGAACACCACTGAACACTCCAAGCCTCCATAGCGGACCCCGTTCCACTCCTTGGGAAGAATGCAATTAACTGCAGCCTGCCCACAGCAGCAATCTCAAATTAGAATATGCAGCAAGTAAATCAACTTTTCATCGGTCTTGGCAATTAGAAATCGAACAAGAAGTTCAAAAGGATAATGTAACACGATAATTGGACCTGGATTAAGATCTGCGTCTTGGCAGAACCAGAGGGTCCAACAAGTTCGACGACGTTCCCGGCGCGGAGAGGAAGCCTGTGGAGAGGCGGAACGAACAAGGAGGGTCGCTGTTTCAAAACTCTGGCGAGCATCTCCGCCGCGGTCTCATCTCCGGCGATCCACTGGCTGAGCGCCATAAACAACGCCCTCGTTTGGGCGGACTTTTTGAAATAGAGAAAACAAGTACTTTTGAAACAACGGAAATGCGTCTCTTTCTTTTACCATGTTTCTTTTAACTTATATTTATATTTTATTTATTTCATTTTCTATTATTTTTAAACTTAAAATACAACTATTCAGATAGAAGATTTAATTCATGACTTTACAGTTGAACTCGGGTTGGTTCTTAAAAATAGTTTTAAATTAACAAAATTAATATTTTGAAAATACAATATATAAAATATTATTTAATTATCTGTGTTTTAAATAAATTATGGATTCCATAAAATCAATTTGTTTAAATATAATTTATTATATATTTTTCAGTAAGTTGGCCACCTCACGCAATCAATCTCTCCAAAATTGAGAATACTTTAATATTATCTAAGTAAAATTCTTAAATAATGTACCTTCGAAGAGAACAATATTTACGATTTTTAATGATTTATAAACTATTTTTCTTGTTATTATAAAAAACATTTTAAGATTTTAATATTGGTTTGAAATATTTGATAAGTTTCAAGACTTCCCACTATTAAATATATAAAGGTTGTAATTTGAATGTCTCCCAGTTTTATTTTTTATTATTTATATTTTTAAACTTCGCCTAAATACATCCAGTTTTGGACTAACAAAAATCAATTTTTTAAATAAAAATTCTAATATACTAAATCTACTTTAATAAATCTATTTTTTAAATAAGTCGTGGACCTCACAAAATCAAACTTTTTTAAATAGAGTTTACAATCAGATAAGCGTGGACCTCACAAAATCAATTTTACCAAAACAATTAAAAATTTTAAAAAAATATATTTTAGGAAAATAAAAAGTTAAAGTAAATATTATTATAATAAAAAAAATATATTTAAAAGTTGAGAAGGCTCCAAACTTACCTGATATTCAAATGTTAAAATCTTAATATGGTTTTTATAATAACAGAAAAATAGTTTGATAAATTAATTAAGAATATTTAAATATGGAAAATATTGTTCTCCATAAATTAATATTATTTATGAATTTTATTTAGATAATATTAAAATCTTATGAAGTTGTTAAATATTTTCCTTATATCGATGACATTTACTTTAAAAATATTAACTTTCTAAAGGTATTTTGTAAAATTTCAATTATTTTGGAGAGATTAATTTTGTGAAGTCTAGAATTTATTTGAAATATAGATAATTAAATTAGATGGGTTATATTATATTTATAAAAAAAATTATTTTATTGTTTCAAAACTATTTTTAAAGTTCTATTTAGGTAAAGTTTAAAAACAGTACTATTAAAAAAAAACAAAATATTGATGCATTCGAGTAAAAGAAAAAAATAAATAATAAAAAGTTAAAAATAACAAAAGGAAAGCCAAAGCGAGCTCAACACATCTCCCTTGAGAGATTGTGAGTTCAATTCCCTACCCTAACATTTGGTAATAAAAAGACAACCAAAGAAAACAAAATGATTGAATGCAAATGTCAAGCAAATTAAAAAAATATATATGTAGCGAGCTTACAGCCCGTTTATTATTTTAGCTGCTGTAATTTGAGAAGTTGCCTTTTTTGTCCCACAGTTTTTAGATTATAGAATTTTTACTGATTCGTAAAAGTGTTTTCGAATTTTGTGATCCAAATGGTGGAAATTCTTAAAACAACATTTTTATTTGAAACTTTAAAATGCATAATTATGTTTAAAAATATAGAAATCTTTGATAAATATATTATTTCAAATTATAAGCTCATTTATTTTTTATAAAATAAAAAATGTAAAACATAATATATTATAAATATTGTAAAATAATAATTCTAAAAAGTTATAACATATAAATAAATTATTGTTATTTTAGATTGAACTAAATATTTAGTTGGTAACTACCGCTAATTTATAAATATATTACTAAACTCATTTGAACACTTCTTTAAATTGAAATTTAATTTTCTAATATGATACAAAATACATATTCGAAAATATTCAAAACATGGAATACTAGCTCTTTTTTTCATTGAATTCTTTGTTTTCAAATTTATGTTTTAAGATCACCCCAAAAAACTTAAGTTTTTCCCACCTTTTTTATATCAATAAATATGTAAATATAATTGTCCTTATGAATTAAATGAACTACAACGATGTCTTACTAACTATTCACCAAACCATTAAATCTCAATAAACATGTTATTGATATGTTTGACGATTGTTCGTTAAAAAAAAAAGATATGTTTGACAATTGTAAAAAACAATCACGTTTTCACTACCGTGTCCCAAAAAACTTATCATGTTTTCACCGCATTGTGCCCACATTGCCCCACGTTTTCACCCATTAAAACATAACTTATCATGTTTTCACCCCATTGTTATAGGATCGAATGACAACACTAGAGGGGTGAACAAGGTTACTTACGAACTTGTAGATTTTAAAAAATAATTTTAAAATTAACAAAAAAATCAAATGAAATTTAAATACATAAATTAAAGAGTAGAGAGAAAGATGACACCAGGAATTAGTGGTTCGGAAATCCTTACTCCACTTCCCAAGACTTCTTCTTGGGTATTTTACTGTGTCGGCTCTCTTACAGGAGAGAACCTAACGGATCGACCATCTTTTTTTATCCTAGGCTAAAGAGAAACCTCAATCCTTTTTACTGGTTCAAGATCCAACTAATTGTATTTTCTTACAACCCAATGTGTACCCACACCTTAATACAAAACTCAAAATATGAAATAAGCAATACAAATAAAATACCTCACTAAGGTAAATTTACAAATTTCACATTAAAGCAATAGCTAAAAAGGCTACACTCTAATGTATCTCTCACAAAAAAATATGGACAACTTTTTGTGTGGAGATAATGAAAATTTGAGAGCATAATAACTTGAAGGGAGAAGAATGTTTGCTTTGATAATTGGTGTGTAGAATGATGGAATTTGGTGGCTTTAGATAGAGTTTCAATGATGAATTTTGGCCGTTGGATTTAGGGCAACAAAGGATGGATGATGGAGATCAAAAGTAGAGATAAGGAAAAGTAGAATGATGGAGATTTGGAGAAATTGGTGGAGATGGAGAAATTATGTGAAATTGAGAGAAGATTGTGGAATTGAGAGAATTGTTGGAATTTGATTTGTTGAGATTGAAAGTGCCACGTGTCATCACATGATCAGTCCACATCATTCACCACGTCACCAAAATTGTTGGTGCCACGTTACTGCCACATCATTGGCCACTGTGGCATAATTTGACTATTAGATGCCACGTCACCTACTACATGTACTTTTTCTTTCCCATCTTGTTTTGACTATAAAGTATTCGTTTGAACTTTGATTTAAGTGATTCAAAATGTGTTGGGTTCGTCTTTTCGAGCTCTATGCAATAAACACTTTGAAACACAAAAAGCATTAGTAAATACAGTTTGTTATCATAAAAACATTTGATATGATTGAAGCTCACATCAGAAATATGATGAGTCACGTGTCCCACATGCATGACTTCTTCTTTTATATATTATTCATAATTAGCTTAGTGGACTTTAGTTGTCTTATTATTTAAGCTCACTAATCAATATCGTCACTATCATTAATATATTTCCCATCATCAACAAGAAAATTTTTAGGCTTGTTATCTAGGACCTTCTTTTATTTGTCTTTATTTGGGTCCATTAGGGGTTTTTTCTCATACATGTTGTACATCTTATTCCAAGGCTTTTTAATGCATCTCCAGAAAATAAAGAATGTGACCCTTTCAGTCTCAATTTATGTGTCTCTTCCTTTGACCTAAACTTTCTCTTGGTATCAAAGGCACCAGCTCATCCATACATTGCAATAGAATCCCCTCTTGACGTGGAAAACTCATCCAAAAGCACCGGAGATGGTACCAGTAACACACCTTCACAAGTTATATTTAATTCACTGCTTCCTATTAACCGAACATCCATCCGTCATTTTGGAAACCCAGTCTCCAGAGTCCTCAACCGTGAAGCTAGATGAGAAAAACTACATCCTATGGAGGAAGATGGTTCTTATTGTGCTGAAAGGTAAAAAACTTGATGACTTTGTACACGGGACTAAGGCACAACTAACAGAGTTTTTACCACTAAAGGAAGCTGGTTCGTCTGAGCCAACTCCAAATCCAGCATATGAAGCATGGTCTACCATGGATCAAGCCTCCTTGGGTGGCTGTACGGGTCAATGACCCCTACCATAGCATCAGAGATCATTAATTTTTCCACCTTAAGACAAGTTTGGAAGGCCTTAGAAGACCTTTATGGATTTACAAACAAGGCCAGGTAAGCAACAACTAACTAAAGGTGGTTCTACAGAACACTGTTAAAGGATCAATAAAGATGAGTGAATACCTCAGTCTTATGAAACAAGTTGTAGACAATTTATTCTTGCTCGAGCACCCGTAAAAATAGACCATATCACCTTCTAGGTGGTCTCTAGTCTAGACGCAGAATACTTGCAATAACCTGTTAGATCAACAAGAATGAACAGACATGGCAAGAACTCCACTCTACACTCATCACATTAGAGAATACTATCATCAACCTAAATGTGATAAATTACTAACTCTAAAGTTGGACATATTATATCCAATGCAGTCTTCAATAAGCACAATGTCCACCAAAACCAACAAATCAAGGAAGAGATCAACTAAGAAACAGAGGAAATAATCAAGGAAGAGGACAAGGAGGAAGATGAAACAACTATCTAAACAACTCTTTCAAACTCACTTTTCAGGTATGTGGTAAATATGGCCTCTCAACAACCATTTACTTTCATAGGTTTGAAAAGGATTTTGTTCGTTGAAGTCAAAACAACTGTAACCGAAATGCAGCCAACATTTCAACTTTAAAAGTAGTTGCTGATCCGAACTAGTTAGTAGACAATAAGGCATCCAATCACGTCACTTCAGACATATCCAATCTTCAGATTCAATCTGACAGGGTAATGAATTTATATTAGTGGGTAATGGATCTAAACTTGAGATTGTCAATATTGGACACTAACACACATAATACCAAGCACTTTTCAGCTCAGTTGAAGAATATTTTGTATGT